CCGTGCTGCCGGCGTGTGAGGAAACTGAGTCACCGGACAGCCGGGGCTCAGGCCTGGGGCAGCGTGGTGGTGGTGCCACCGCCGCGTCCCAGCACTGGCAGCGTCGGTGGAAGGGGCAGCACCGTGCCTGCCGGGGCACGCCGAGGGTTGTGTTTCGGGTTGTTGCGGGTGCGGGCGTGATGCCGGCGGGTGCTGATGGTTCTCCTGCCCGCTCTGCCCAGGTGCTGCAGGACGTCCTCCGGGACCTCTACCGCCTGCTGAAGCACGTGGTGGCAACCGAGCCCGACGGTGCGACGGTGCTGCACGCCCAGCTGGCACTGGAGGAGCTGGACACGGTGATGAGGAGGGTCCTCTTCCCCCCGCAGGCGCTGGAGAAGAAGATCGTGGTGCTCCCGTAGTGGGGCCAGGGCTGCAGAAACGAACTGTTCTTGCTCTGGCATCGGGGCCAAGCGGCTCCCTGAGGCGAAGGGTTCGCTGTGCCCTCGGGAGGCTGCCGGCGGGTTCCAGCTGGGGAGGAAACTGCAGCCTGAGGAGGGTGGGTGGCCACCCCTGGGCTCCCCGTGGCTGGAGCAGGGGGGGCTCGCTGGGACGGGGCGGGGGATTAAATGCAGACGTGCTCAGCCCTGCATCCGTGACATCTCTTGGAGCCATGCAAAGCCCCTCGGTGCCATCATGGCCATGTCCCAGCCTGTGGCTGGGCCGTGCTCGCCCTCGCGCGCTTGGGGTGGCAGCAGTGGCACTGGCCCTGGTGAGCCCCTGGGTCCTGCGGGTGGGTGGGCATCAGCCCCCAGGGCTGGCCCTGGGCTGGGGGAGCAGCCGACAGGGCCGGTGCATCAGGCTCCCGTGCGGCCAACCGGCACCGGGCGCCACGGCTGCCCCCGAGGGGAGCTGGAAAGGAGGGGGGCTCCGTCTGCACCCCCAGCGTGGGCAGCCGTGCACCCCGGGGCTGGCAGGCAGCCTGCTGCTGCCACACGGCCCTGCCTCGGCACCGCGCTCACGCCATGGGGATGCTGGAGGGTCCTGGGACGGCCAAGCCGGCCGGCAGCTCTCGCACACTTGCACGCTTGCTGCTGGGTGCCCATGGGCATGGAGGGAGCCTTTCTGGGTGCCAGCCCCGGGCAAGGCACAGGGATGATCCCTGAAGGCGACAGCTGAGCCAGCTTCTGAATGTCGTGATCTTAGCCAAATCCAAGTGATTTTCCCAGGGGGGCAGAGGGAAATGGAGCCGGCATTGCCAAGCCCCTGCGCTGCCGGTGCAGTGGGGCCGTGGTGCTGGGAGCGGGGCTGTGCTGGGGACCCGTCCCCCTCCACGGTGCCTCTGGAGAAGGCCCTGCCACGGCACTGCCTGCCCTGCGCCCGTTCCCGGGGCCTCCCGCACCACAGGGTCTGAGGGGGCCCTTCCACCATGGCACCAGGAGCCCCCTCCATGCCAGGGCTGCCGTGTGTGCTGGGAGCACGGCCAGGGGCTTGCGGGACCCTGCAGGGCACCCAGCGGCGACCAGCACTCGCTGCCACGTGCTCAGGGACAGCCCAGCATCGGGGTCACCCCTCTCCCTCCGGCCAGGGCAGCCCCCATGGGTGCTGCAGCACCGCGGGCCCCACTCCTGCGCCAGGAGCTGCCGTGCACCCACGGCTGGGGACGGGGGTGCTCTGGGGTCACACCAGAGCCCTTAGGGACCCAGCCCGGAGCCCCCGGGCTGGGCAGCCCCTTCGTGCCGGGCAGCCCCCTTGCACCGGGCAGCCCCCAGCCCCGCTCTGCGCAGCTCTGGGTACCCATTTCCCGGCTGCCCCGTGCCGTGCCGTGCTGGATGGTGTGAGAGGCCAGGCACCCCCCTTCCCTGCAAGGTTTGGGGTGCCGGGCTGTGTCTCCACCCCCAGCGAAGCCGCCTGCGCCAGGCCCACACCTCGCCGTGCCGTGCTGTGCCGTGCCGTGCCGCTCGGCCGGGTGTGCACGGGCAGCGGGGAGCGCATTGTCCTCACCGGAGAGCCGCGGCGGCTGAACGCTCCTCCTCGCTCTGGCTGCCGCCAGCCAGCACTGGTGACGGTGCCGGGCCACAGGCACACACCCGCCCCCGCGCCGCCGGGGGCGCCGGTGCCGGGCCACAGCCACACACGGGGATGCTGCCGTACCGGCTGTGCCTCCCCAGGGCCTGCCGTGAGCGGCAGAGGACATTTTTTGAATGAAAAGTCTCTTTTGATGCCGCTGGCCGGGCGCCGTCCGGCCGTCCTGCTGCGGGGAACAAGGAGGTGGCTGTGCCGGAGGAGGAGGGAGTTTGGTTTCCACCTTGGGCAGCGACGGGCGCCTGCAGCCACAGGGACCCCACGTGCGCCCGGCAGCACCGCGGCAGTGGCACAGGCACGACCACGCCAGGTCTGACCCCCACCGCGCTGGGTTTCGCACCTCCACGCGCCACCGCTGCCGGGCTCAGCCGGGCCATGTGGGAGCCCCACTGGCGATGCCGAGGGTCTCGGTGCGTCCCTGCCCCATCCCCACCGTCCATGGGCTCACCAGTTCCTCGCCACCCACTCTGGCACCTACGGTGGGGAGTTTCCAGCCGGCGTCACCACCGTGCCAGGGGTTCAGCTGAGGGGGACCCGCCTGGCTGGGGTGCTCCTGCCGGAGGGATCCCCTTCCCCAGCTCCTGGGGCTGGGAGGGTCTGGGCCTAATCCCGGCGTCACCTCGCAGCCGGCTCCCAGCCCAGCAGGACACAATGGCCCGTAGCAGGGTGAGGAACCCAAAAGTGCTGGATTTGAGCCCAAAGCCGAGGCTGCAGCTCCTCTGGACTCGGCGTGGTCCCTTCCCAGGGCTGCTTGTCCCCTGCCATCAGCCGAACATGGGGACATTGTGTGTGACCAGCACAGGGTTGCTGTCCCCGGGGGGGGCCCTGGTCCTGCCCCGGGACCCACCGGCCACGGGGACAGGGTGACACGGCGAGGCAGGCCCCGGGCATCCCCAGGTGGCCCACAGCCACGGCGGGACGCGGGGAGGTGACACGTGGGCAGCGCAAGAGGGGCCCCAAGAGCGGGGCGCGGGGCGACGGGGTGGCACGGGGGGACCCCGCGGTGTCCCCGGGTGTCCCAGCGCTGCCGAGCTGCGGCCGGTCCCCGGGGCGGTGCCGTGCCGGTGCCCGCGGCCGCGCCGGGGGGTGCCG